TACAGCTGTGAATCTCCCTTGTGGTGCTGACTTTGCAGTGGGAGTTGACCAGCAGTGAAGACAGAGAAAGCTGCGCAAATGAGATCATTTCGTGGGGCATTTCTCATGGAAAGTACAGCAGGGTGGTGCAGAGAGAGATGAGGCAGATGTTGGGGAGGGAAGTCAGGGAGGGCCTGAGAGGACGACATCCGAGTGGAGACCTGAAGGAGCAGGAGGAGCTGGCTATGCAAAGATCTGAGGGGCTGGCATCCAAACACATGAAGGAGCATGTGTAAAGGCCTTGAGGTGGCAACAGGCTTGGCAACTCCAGGAGTGTGTGGCTGGAGGGTAGTGAGCAGGGCAGGGTAGCTGGAGACAAGGTTGATGACCAGTGGCCCTAAGGACCCTGTGTCCCCCCCACACATATATCAGACCTGGGAGACCCTTCTGAGACCAAAAGGAAGGAACCTATGCCCTTCCCCCCTCTGGCCATGGAAGAAATCAAAGCCTTGAAGGGACATTTGCCCAAGGCCACCCCAGGTCCAAGTCTCCCAAGTGCTGGCTGCAGGCCTTTCCATTTGCAGAGGTGAGAACCCAGACCCGTGCCCAGATGTGGGGTAGAAGCGGAGGGCACAGCAGCCTGAGGATGCCCCTCCCCCACCTGGCCTGAGCAACTGGCTTCAGGTGGGGCGGGGCCTGGTTCCTCGGGCCCTCGACATGCCACCAATGACCACTCTATCTGGTCAAATATGCGAGTGGCCCTCGGGACAGCAGAGCAGCATAGCTGAACAAGCCTTATCTGGGCCCCGCCCCAGCTGCCAGGGGCTGGTCCCCGCTGTGCCCTGACTCCCAGGCCTGCCTGCGGCCAGGGCAGCGGTGGAAATCCAGCGCCCAGGAGCACCCGGACCAGATGGGGCAGGACAGGAAGGGACAAGGCTGAAACCCCTCTGTGCCCAAGAGGCTAGGCAGGGACTGGGAGGTGACTTTTCACTCCGGTGGAATTCCATCCCCCTGAGCTCACCTCCCTCGGAGCAAGCGGCACATTCCAGCAGGGGCCGGCCCCGTCCGGGCCCCCATCCCCAGGGCTGGCTGTCCTGGGCTCCGTCACCACACTCTCAGGAAAGGTTGCTGAGGGCTCCTGCCACCCCCGAGGCCCCCCAGTCCCTGGTGCACGTCACTCTCAGTGTACAGTGAGGCCTCAACGGCCCACACGGCCAGGTACAATGTCGTCATGGGGCTCGGAGGTGCCTGTCCCTTGCCCAGGGTTCCAGAGCTAGGAAATGGCAGAGGCTGACTCAGAGGACGGCCTGGGCTTCTCTGCAGCCCACAGGGGACACTTTACATGCGCTCACAAATGTGCCAGCAGGCCGGGTGCTCCTGCTTCTCTTCCCGCCTCCCTGACTGCTCGTCCCTTCCCACCGCCCTCCTGCGCCGGTGCCCACGTGCCAGGCTGTGGCTCTGGCTCTCCTGCTTTCCCACCTTACTCCTCCTGCCGGGCATCCTACAAACGCCAGGGCTTCCGTTACCACCTCCCGCAGGTGGCTGCTGGGAAGGTTCAGGTACCAGCGGCCCTGGGCATCGCCGCCTGTGGCCCGCAGGATCTCCCACTCTCATGCCCCAAAGTACCCTAATCGTCTCCCCTAAAACTGATTTCCTCTGCCCCAGGTCCCCATCCCAGTGAGGGGGACCCCCTTCTACCCCGAACACACCCCACGACGGGTCCTGTCTGTTCTGCTTCCTAAACTGCCTTCCCCACACACCCCACCCCAGGCCCCCGTGGGGTTTAGGGACCAATCATGGCCATGGCTCCTTCATGCTATCCTCCGCTCTGTCCCAGACAGGCCCAGAACCTGCCCGCACACTCCTCACCAAAGCCCCCTCTGGGCGCCTTGGCGTAAGAGGAAGTCTTGCTCCTGGCCTGGCACTCAAGGCCTTGCCCTCTCTGCAGCCTCATCGCCCTCAGCCCCCACCCCCGGCCATATGGGTCCCACACCGTGCTGTGTGAGCACTTTGTGTTTTGGTCCACGTCTGCGTCTGCCCAGACTGCCCTCTTCCTTCTCGCTGCCCTGGCCGTCTGGAGGACTCCTGCTCATCCTTCAAAGCCCTGCTGAGAGGTCCCTTCTTCCCCTTAGCAGTCTTCGCACTTCTCGGGGAGGAAACCACTCTTCCTCTGACCTCTTCTCTGCTCCTTCTGGGTTGCATTTCTCCTGCACGGTGTCGCCTGAATCGCAACCTACGCTGCTCCAGCCTGACTCTCTCACTAGGCTGAGCGTCTAGTCTTGAGGGCAGAACCGTGGGTCGTTCCTCTCCCCACTGCGTGAAAGCCTGGAAAGAACTGACTCAACGCCACCAAGATTCTGCCATCCGAGTGTTTCAACGCGTGCCGCTCTCCCGCCTCACCGAGGATGCTACGACTCCCAGCCTACATTCTGCGACATGAAACTAGCATGGCCTGACCACTCTGTGATTTCAACCCAGAAGTATTTTGGCCTTAAAATGCCAGTCGGGGAAACCATAATTCCAAAATCACCTCTCCAAAAGATGTTTGCACCCTGCACCGCTCTCTTCTAACCTGACCATTTCACCGTTCGCCCCTGCAGGGGACAAGGAGAGTCTGGGAAAGCCTGGCCTGCCACAGTGATGCCCCTGCCTCCCCGGCCCCAGGGCCCACACCTGCTGGCCAGGGCCTGGCTGTGCCTGGGCTGGGGCCCCAGCTGGAGACCCGGGAGGCTGAGACACCCCCGAAGAGTTTATTCTCCCTCATCTTCCAGGTGGGGCGGCGGGCTCCCCTGCAACCCTGGGGACAGTCCCTCATTGGGGCTGCAGGAGGCACGTGGTGCACCCCTCCCTGGCTTCCCTGCCCCCTTTTCTCTCGCACCAGCTGCCAACAAGCCCCAGAGCCTGTGGTCAGGTCGAGTCTTGTCTCTGCATGGCAGGAGTGAGGAGCGGGTGGTAAACACGTCTGCGAGCCTTTCCAAGACGCCCGGCAGGAGCAGCGCAGGGCTGGTCCGTTCTCCTGTCGCTTCCCCATCTCCGTGTGGGGGAGTCCCATGGCAGCCTGGTATTTTTGGGGGGGTTCCTGGATGGAGCCTCCAAATAAATGTCACACTGCAGGAGCTGACTGGCACCTGGAGATCCAGAACAAGGCCAGGGTCATAGTCCCAAGTGACATGCAGAAACTGAGGTCTGAAGCGGGGATGGAACCCCCAGCAGCTGGTGGCTGTCTTTGCTCTTTCCTAAGCGGATCCGTGTCTGGTCCTCGGGGCACCGTGCGGCAGGGAGGGAGGGCCTGGCCACCTGGGCTAGGCTGGCTGAGCTGTGCAGCCCCTGACCTGAGTCCCTGAGTGCCAGCTGCTCCCCTCTCTGGGCGCCACGTCGGCCCCCATCACACAAGGGGGCCGCACTGGTGGCTGTTCGGCCTTCCCTGGGTGCACTGAGGAGTCCCCAGGCCCACCCGTGGCTCAGGAAAACTCAGTGCGTTTGCAGAAGCCACCCCGTGGGTCCTCCGTAACCAGAGGGGAGCTGGGCAGGCAGGGGAACGTATGTCCGTCTGCTGGCTCTCCCCGAGCTGGAGAACTGTCTGCTCACAAACACCGGCCCAGTCCAGCCTGCTCTCTGCCCAGACCCCTCTGCTGACCCCGCTCAGGGCCTCCCTCTGCCTCCCAAGGGTCTGTCTCTATGACCTCTGCCCCTCGCCTGCTCCAGAACCACCAGTGGCTCCCCAGGGACCGCAGGCCTTCATCGGCTCACCCCGTCCATGTATATGCAGTGGCTAACGTGGGCTGCTCTAGAGCGCAGCTGGGACTGGGACACCAGGGTCCCTGTCCTCAGCAAGCTTTCAGTCGAGAGGGAGGAGAAGGCTGTGGAACAAGGCACCCTCCGAGCAAGGTCTAGGAAGGAAGGGAAAGGGAAGCTTCTCTGAGTAGGGGACATCATGGCTGAAACTTGGATGGTAAGGAGAAGGCAGAGGACAATCTGGGGACAGCACAAGGCTCTCACTCTTTGTGTCACCTGCAAGGCCACCCCAGCTGTGGTTACCCTGCCAGGGACCCCGAGACCAGCCAGTGTGGGCCCTTGACCTGGTCCCGTGCCCCACCTCTGGGCCTTCGTCCACTCCAGCCCCCAGACCAGAATTGCCTTCACCTCTCTCCTCTGCCTGCCACACCTCACTCATCTTTTGGGGCCCACTTCCTCCAGGAAGTCCACTGAGGTTGGTCCAATGACGTCTGACAGCTCCTGGTGTCTGCATCACCCACAGGCTCCTGGGAACATGACTAAGCAGCAACCACAAGCCCCACACCAGGTGTAGCCGAGTGGCTTACAGAACACTGTCCCGCCTCATCCACCTGGAAGCTGACTTATCACAAGCCACCTGGCACTCTCTCCTTTCATTCTCCCCACAGCCCGCCCAGGTAGCCACGGATGAGGAAACTGAGGCTGAGAGAAGAAAGCCACTTGTCTTCTTCCCTTCTGCCTCCAGGGACTGAGAACTTTGAGGGCAGGAGGGAGTCTGTGACCTGTGACCTGAGGGTGATGTGACCACAGAAACAGAGGAAGGAGCTGCTGAGAACCTGCAGGGAGGTGCCACCCTGGGCAGGAACTCCCTGCCCTGGGACTGGACAGGCAGGCCAGGTGAGCGACTCTCCTGTGTGACTCTCCATGGTCAGCCGGGAGGCTCTGACACACAGGATGTGGCCAGAAGCCTGAGAAGAGGGGGGCGGGAGGGGAAGCTGGAGCACGGCCTGCTCGGCCCCTCCCGAGTATACGGGTTCACACCTGTTCCTGTTGCTGTCTTGCGGAGCAACATCGGTTTGTCCTAGTGGGGACTCAGCTCTCCAGCCTCCCCAGAAAGCGACAAGCAGACATGGCCCTGGCCTGGAGCACGACGCCAGAGCCAGGCAGAGTGAGGCTGAGGGCAGAGCCCTGTGGCTCATCGCCAGCCGCCCCGCGCCGGAGCCGACACAGCGGCGGGCCGCAGCATCCCTGCAAGAGCCGCCCGGCTGCCCTCCCTGGCTGCCTACCTTTCGGCCCGCCTCGTTATTGTGTAAGTTCATGAGCGTCCGAGCATTCTGCTTGATCTCCCGGGCATCCACAAAGACCTTGGCGAAGCCGATGCCGTAGCGGATGTCGGCAGAGCAGCCACCCCACTTCCAGCCCTCGTCCCGGTGGTACTGGCCTTGCTTCTCCTTGTCGCAGCCACAGTCGCTGAGGTTACCCTGGGTACAGGCAGCTGTGATAGCGTGGGCCACGCCGGCGGCAATGATGGCGTAGGTGAAGGCAGCCTCCCGGCTACCTGTGAGGAGGAAAGAGGAAAGGCTGGGTCAGGCCCTGGGCATCTGCGAGGAGGCTGGGCCTGTCTGCCAAGGGTGGCTGAGGTCAACGCAATGGCTCCCCAGGGCTTGACTGGGCCCCCATTCCTAGCCTCCAACAGAGCTCCCTCCTGGGGTGAAGACCTGAGCGCCCCATGGCGCACACCCCCATTCAAGCCCAGTCCCCTGGGGAGTCGGCTGGGCAGTGGAGGAGGAAGGCACGTGGGCTGGTTGCCCAGGCTCCAGAAGACCAGATGGAGGGACCGCCAGTCAGTGACCACTCACCCCCAACTCCAGAGCACACTCAAAAGGACCATGTGACTTGTACACGGGCACAAAGCACAGCATCTTAAAGCAGCGTCGCTTGGACACCTACAGACTTGCTCTGGAGCCAGAAGGCCTGAGTTGAAATCCTGGGCTCTGTAACTTTTGGCCAAGCACTACTCCTCCCTGAGCCTCAGTCTCCTCGGTTGTAAAATGGGGACATACCAGTAGTACCTTCCTCCTGGCAATCATGGAGAAAGACAAGCGTTTGTGCAAAGTATTCAGCCCCATGCTCGGCTCACGGCACTGCCTGACACTGTAGCTCTTGTTCCCACGCTCACTGTTATTGCTGCTGTGTGTCACCTGCTACTTTAGACGTCCATCCTCTCCCTTCTTCTGCGGCCCCCTCACTGGACTGTGAGCATCCCCAGGGGAGACGAGGGGTCCTAAGCAGCTGGGGTACAAGAGGCAGAACCCTGAGTGGGAGTTACTCATGCAAAGTCGGTGCTGCCACCCATCCCCTTAGCCTCTCAGCCTCTCTGGGCCTCAGTCTCCCCACCTGCAAAATGGGTTCGAGAGCAGTGTCTGCTTCCCAGGGTGAAGCCTGGCCAAGACAATCTGTGGGAAGCCCTGTGCATGGTATGAGGCCAGAGTGAGCGCTGGGCGGGTAGCTCCCACAGCCAGGGCAGGTTTCGGGGAAGGCACCTGGAGGAAGAGGCCCCCGAGTCCACAGACACACCGAGAAGGTGTTTCGGGGTGCTGGGATGAGATGGCTGAAGCAGTGGATTGGGTGGACGAGGTGACCTCCAAGTTACCCAAGCCCCAGGTCACTCTGACCCACACTCAGGTAGATCATTTCCCCACCCACCTCCTCATCCACTCCTGGCCTCCCTCCCAGGCTGCTAAGACTCAAATAACCTGTGTCCCCGCCCCATCGCTGCCCCCCAACCTTGCAGGACGTGGGCCCATCCACTTGCTGGGCTGGTCGTCTTCCCTGCGCCGGGGCGGCTTCACTCTGGCCTTCCCTGCCAGCCCACCACGGCGGCCCTGCTCACACGGACACCGGAGCCAGACGCCTGGGCTCAAATCCCAGCTGCATCTCTTGCTGACACTGACTTGGGTGAGATCTTTCCCTACTCGGAGCCTCAGTCTCCTCGTTTATGAAACGTGCCTGCGGGAGCTGGCAAGAAGGCGCGGGAGAAGGGCGTACACAATGTGGAAGTGTGCTGTCCAGAGCCTGGCGCATCAAGCACAGGAGTGGGCACCAAGGGGATGCCACCACCGCTGCCCTCTCCCCTCAACTGCACCTCAACTTTGGGGACTCAGAAAGGGGATTATTCCGTTATTTGGGCATCTGCTGGGTTCCCAACTCTCTGCATTTATCATCCCCTTGGTACAAGGAAACCCCTCTGAGTACCACGTGCCCATCAGAGGGCCTGGCACAGAGCAGGGACGGGGATCCATGCAGGGCCCGGGCACAGGCACGACTTCTGGTCTGGCTGTAGAACCCAACAATGCTTTCACTATGTGAAATGGAGATACGCTGTGCGAGATCCATCCACGCTGGGCGGAGCCACAGGAGCACAAGGGAACCTGTCGAGGCCACATGTTGCAGACAGAACCGACGGCAGGGCAAGGAGGGACGGAATGTGGCCGTCCTTGTGCTGCTGGGCTCTGCAAAGGAGGGAGCTTTCAAATTAAAGCCATGGGGGGACAGGACACCAGGCCTTGCGCCCCGCTGAGGCAAGACACTGGAAAAGAGATAGAACTTGGTGGAAAGACCCCGAGGAAAGGGCAGATGAGAAGAATCCGCACCCCCACCCTCCCAGCAAAGCCAGACAACAAGCAAGCAGGTCTGTCTCAGCCAGAGCAGGAGCTGGGGGCTGCCGGGGGGATCCAGGATCTCCTGGAAATCGGCAGCCACGCTCCAGCCTTTGCGCAGATTGGAGGCTCGAGTTTACCCCCCTGCATGCTCCAAGGGCTCCAGGCAAGCGGGAAGCCTCACCCCAGTCTAGTGATTCCGAGACCCCAGAGCAGCAAAGAGAAAGGCTCCCCACCCCGGGCACCAGCTCACGTGCCGGAGCATCCACCGCACAAGAAAACAAAACACCAGGGGAGACAGCCAACGTCAAGATCAGATCCTCAAGGATGTCGGCAAAAAGAACAACCAGCTAGAAAGCAGGGGGAAGTCTCTGTTCCACTGCTTTCCAGCTGTGTGACCTTGGGTGAGTCGCCTAACCTCTCCGTGCTTCAGTTCCTCCACTGTAAAATGAGGTGACAACAGTACCCACTTTATTAGGGTGGTTGAGAGGACTAGAAAAAATTAACAGTGGTAAACCACTTAGAGCTTGGCATGAGAAAGTGGCCCCAAATACTAGAGTTTTATAATTTTTCATTAATAATTGATGACAGTAGTAACAGTTTCTTATGAGAGGGCTCAGAGGCAAGTAGAGGTCTTCATTCATCCTCACTGACAGTTGAAGAAACTGAAGCCAAGAGAAAGGTCTGACTTGCCCAGGACACAGAACTGAGCTGCAGACGTGGCCTCTCGACACCCCACACGGACCCAGGGATGGAATGGCTCCGAGGTACAGCGGGCAGTGACCACTGGCAGGCTGCGGCAGCTGAAAAGCTACTGTGTCCGCTGTATCAGACCGAGAACGGGTGAGCAGGGGAGCAGGGACGGGGGTCTGGCTTGTGCTTCCTGGGGGCGGGGCCGGGGACAGGGTGGGGGGCTGCCAGCCCAACACTCCTTGTAATGGTTTAGTGTGCCCCCTGCTCTACCTCCAGGCAGGTGACCGACCCCAGGTCTCTCTGAGTCCCTTGAACAGTCCGTGACGATGCAGATGGTGAGGACCAGACGACCAACTGCAGACCTGTTCCCAGCCCACCCACCAATCCCATCCACCCCCACAGTGGGGGAAGGGCAGTTGCACCCTGGGACGCATTTAACTCCCCCGAGTTCCAGGTGGCACCCCCTCCCCGCCGCGACACGACGTCTCATTGAGTGCCGCGGCCCCCCTCCCTGCTGCGCTGGCCCTCCCCTCAGCACCCGCCGCCCCCGGGAAGAGAAGGCTGCAGCCAAGGGGCCGACAAGAGCGAGGGGCCGCCGTTCTTGGCTTCAGGGCCCTCAGGGACGCAGGCTCGGCGGGTCAAGTCCAGCCCTTTGGGACTCTGAAGAGTTTCCGTCGACCGTGCCGTTAACTCTGACACCGGCCCTGCCCGGCAACATCGGGGTGGGACTGTCCGATCCTCGCCCCTCCCTGACCCCTGAGGAAACCGCCCTGGGCACCGCTGGCCTGTCTCTGACGTGGGGCCCGTGAGCCTCTTTGGGCCTTGTCGCTGCTTCTGTGAAATGGGCGCAGAGCAGTGCCTGCGCATCCGAGTCAGAAAGAGGGGTGGGTGCTGGGCAGGCGCCTGGATGTAGTAAGTGCTCAGTGAACACCAGCCGTCGCCGCTGCTGCTGCTGCTGCTGCTGCTGCTGCTATTGTTACGACTGTCACTGAGTCCCATTCCAGCCTCATCCATGACGCTCCATATACTCTGCGATGTTGCAAAGGACAAGGCAGCCTCAGGCAGAGGCAAGTGTGTGGGGCTGTTCCCGTGTCTGTCTGCGCAGCCAAACTTCACGTTCACAAGGTGATGGGGACCGTGTCTGTCTTGCTCCCACTGCCTCCAATGCCCTCCGTAATGTGTAAGGGATGCGCCAGGCCTGAGCCTCAATTTCGACCCTGCTGGGAGCTGCGTGACCTCGTGCAAGTCACTTAACCTCTCTGAGCCTCCATTTCCTCATCTGTTAACAGTACCTTCCCAACAGAAAGAAGTAGACATCACCTGGCACCTACATGGTGCTGAAATATGTGGTAGTGCATATTATGATTATTATAATTGATGAAATTACAGGCACAGTTGGGAGGGACAGGGAGGAATCTCCCCATTAGTCTTCTCCAAAGCCCTTACTGCCACCTGCCATTGTTATTATATTTTCAGGAACAGAATCTCGCTATGTTGCCCAGGCTGCAGTGCAGTGGTGTCACCATAGCTCACTGCAGCCTCGAACTCTTGGGCTCAAGAGGTCCTCCTGCCTCAGCCTCCCGAGTAGGTGGGACCACAGGCATGTGCCACCACACCCAGCTGCTACCTGTCACTCTAGACTCACCTACCTGCTTATTGCCTGTTCCCTGTGCCAGCCCCATCACCCATCCCTGCTGCCCCTCAACAGCATCATTTGCTTGAAGGCAAGCACTTCGCCATGTTCCTTGCTGTGGCTGCAGGGCCTGGCACATAGTAACTACTTAATAAACATCTGTGGAATGAATAAATAAATGAAAGAAAGCTCCGAACAGTGGCCAACAAGCACATAGCCTTGACTGCGTGCTTATTACTTGCCAGGCTCTGTGCTGAGCACTTTAGAAGAGGACAACAACCCCTCAAGGGAGGTAATTACTGCATCCTCATTTTGCAGATGAAGAAACTGAGGCTCAGAGAAGATCTGACCAGGCAGGCATGACGACCTCTGGCCCCTGATGGCCCATCTTCTGGGCATTCGATAGGACAATATGTCTCCAGGCTGTCAGCACAGAGTTAGCCAGAGGCTTGGAGATTTTTTCAGGGGAGGGTGGAAAAGGTGGTGAGAAGGGAACATTTGTTGAGCACCTACTATGTGCCAGGCTCATGCTTGGCTCACGGTGCAGTATTTTGCAACAATCCCCAATGGTAG